TAGCAGCTATTGGTTCAAGCTATAAACAAAGATTGGATAAGAGCAATAAATATTTTTTTATTTAGAATACCATCGTCCAAAAAAACAAAGGAAAAAGAATAAAATTATTCAACTGAATCGTTTAAGAGAGCAGCATGGGATTCATCGATGAAGAATTTAGGATCGATCTTACGACCTAAGAGTGATGCGATCTCCTTGTATCTCTTAACACTTGAATTACAAAATATTAAAAGCATTCTTGAGTGCTCGAACACTACATACATAACTTTGCCATTGTACTTCGAGTCAATATGTACGTTTACTATTAGTAGTTGGGGCAACTGTGCCTTCGACTGTAATATCTATTAGATTGGAATTTGAACATAGCGAAGAATCAATAAGTCCATCAGTATAATAAAAAAAGACTTGTTGCAATGCTTGAAAGATGCTTTTTTTACTCTTTTGAGGTGATTTAATAATCAAAAACGTCTGTCGTAGATCGGTTATGTTTCAAAAAGTGGATGACATTTGATTTCTCACCAACAAACATACATGACGCCTACTCTCTCTCGCCTACGTAAGCATTGAAATGTGTGAAATTTAACAATAAAGTGAAATAATAGAAAATGAATTGAAAATCGTATAAATCTAGAGGTAAAATGAACATTAACACTAGGTCATGAAGTGCTGTATTTTTATAGAATAAATATTATGTGTGATAATGTCCTTGCATTTCAATTCTTTCATTTTTCTAATTACGCTAACATTTTTTTTTACTTCTCTATACGTCGTATGAATGTTATGAAAACACCTTTTTTCCATATATCATAAATAATAAAAATTGCAGTGTTTGCTCAGGACTAATTGTCTGACAATTACTCTTATTAATTCTTCAGATAAAAAAAACTATATATGAATTGATATTATTTTGCTGTCATTTCGAAAATATAAATGTGGTTAAGTATTCACAACGGGAAACTACATTTCTTCTATTATCGTAAAAAATCAGTTATTTATTGTTATTACAACTGCTTAAAACGTTACTACTATTGTGAAGTAATTATAATACATGGATAAAAATAAAGGTTATTCTCTTCTCTCTCATTGTTCTATTTTTAATAGAGAAACATGAAAAGATCGTCAATTATATTTGACAACTTTTAAATTAAACAGTCGTTCAAGTAATCCCTGTCAAGAAAGTCTTGACACAATATACTCGCTCATTTTTCGATCACTGAAAAGTAACTAGTGAGAGTCAAGAGCAGTTATTAAGACTCAGAATTTTGTGCTCTTTCTGAATATGGGCTCAGAAATTTTGTGTCTATCTGTGCTAAACAGTAATGAGGGAATCTTTGAAAGGCCTAAAATATTAGTTTAGACGAAAAAACTTTTCATACATACTCATTATTGAGATCTGAAACTAAAAATTGGAAACATTTGTTGATATATCAGCTTGTAGAGCAAAATTTACCGTAGAAAACGCACTATTTGACTTTCTTTTTGTCTCCTAAGAAGACGCCTAAACTTTCGTTTTTGTATATCACCCTCATTTTTGAAAAAATCAATATTTTGAAGAAAGCGCGTTTTACATAGAAAGGAATTCTTGAGAAAATCGTTATAACTTTAAGCTATATCTTAGTATAATATCACATGTTGTAAACAACTGTTCGCTCTACAAAATCACCGATTCCGACAATTTTGAATACCTTCGCAAACGGACTTATGGGGAAGTGAACAAAAACCTGCTTGCTCACTGTCCAAACCAAAAATGTATCCCTTTGAAAGATTCCCGTACTTTTCTCGAACAAATATAGATGCACAATTTTTGAACCCATATTCGGAAAGCACATAAGATTTTGGTCATAATCCATAGTTTTTCGCTCGTCTGAAATACTTTCAAGCAGGCTAAAATCGAACAAACATTGTGTCAAGAAACTTCGGCCCAACCATTGTCCAAACTAATTTTTTTAGGTCTTTCAGAGATTCCCTCACTATTATCGAGAAAAAATAGACACAAAATTTCTGAGTCCATATTCAGAAAGAGCACAAAATTCTGAGTCTTACTAACTGCTTTTGACTGTCACTAGTTGTTTTTCAGTGATCGAAAAATGAGCGAGTATATTGTGCCAAGACTTTCTTGACAAGGGTTAAGTCAGTGATCAATGAATACTTTTAATATCATACAACGATACTGTCTTCAATTACATTTAAATTTAAGATTAACATACTGAACACTGCCGACCTGTGTATAGTTAGTATCTCATTGCGCTTATTTCATGTTATAATTACGAGCATGTTGCCATATTAACTGAAATTTAAGTGTTGATTCAGCTTAATAATGATTAAAATTTATTACTTAAAACTTACTTAAACATATCGTAAGAGTGAAGTACTCGAAGTGATACTTGCCATTTGAACTCATATTGAATTTACAAGGAGATCTTGATAAGACTAGGAAAATTCTAAACAGATTGATGCATTTAGATCTCTGAAGTCGAGTTGTGACTGTTTTACTGAATTTTCGATCCAGTTTCAAGTATTTATCAAAAAATCAGATAATAGAATTTCGGTATAAAATTTTGCCCACAGATAGGCCTAATGATTCATAGCATATTCTGAAAGTTTCAGTCGAAAGGAATATTCTTTTGTTGAGGTATTGAATTTCCAAAAGCATGGTCGTTTGCCACAGAATCTAGTTTATTTAAAAATTCAATATCTCACCAAAGAAACATTCACTTTTAGTGATATTCTATGAATCACTAGACTTATCTATAAGTAAAGTTTCAGGTCGAAACTTAACTGTTTGATTTTTCTGTAAATATCTAAAGCTGGATTGAAAAATTGAGTACAACAATCATAACTCAACTCCAGAAACCCATGAACACAAATTCTTTTAAGAGTCTTCTAGTCTTACCGAGGTCTTCTTATGAACTCAATATGAGTTCAAACGGCGGATGTCAGTTCAGGTAGTTCCCTTGTTAGTAATGTAATTTTTACAAAAATGTGCTTAAGGCATACCAAAAGTAGTGTCGACATTATCTTATATTCATATAGAAAGCTTGAAGATATTTTCTTTTTTTATGTAGTAATAAAGAAAACGACATTCTATTTTTCTATACTATTTGATTACTATTGAACTAATATCGTAATAATAAAATTACGGTAAGAACTGTTTTTCTGTAAAACGTGATAGTTATACTAATGCTGTTTAAAAAAAAGATCGAATGAGTATTTTTTGAATAACTTTTCATAAGAACAAGATAGAGAACTGTAGTTTTCATCGTTCGATAGAAGAGATGAAGTTACATCGAAGCGTATATTATGAGTTTTCCAAATATGTCTTGTGAAGTTTGCTTAATCAATTTTCTAAGTGTCAAAAAATGGTTTTTTATTAAGAAGAAAATAGCAAAAACACATTTTTT